ATGATGGTGAAAAAAAAAATGATGGTGAAATTAAAGCATTTCCAGATAAACAGAAATTAAGGGAATTTTTTTAAAACCAGACCAACCTTACAAGAGATGCTAAACGGAGTCCTTTGGACAGAGAACCAGCAAAGTTGACAACAACCGATGATTAACACACATGGCAACATAACCCAGAAACTAACGCAGTTATGGAAGTATCTAAAGTAAAATAATCCTACAAGATTGTAAACAAGAAACCAGAAACATCAACTGGTAAATGAGGACAACTACAAACTAAAAAGAGGGAACAAATCATGTAGGTACAGAACTTCCAAATGGTGAGGAAGCCAAGACAACTGTGAAATAGAACATACTGTTCTAAACTTGGGAAGAAAATAATAAAGCACAGGGTAACCTCAAAGAAAAATAATAAACCTTTCCATCAAAATAAAAAAGAGGATAGGTACAAATATTTAGGAAATACTAAAACAATAGCAACAAAGGAAATGATTAACACTATTCATAAACAAAAAGATGCTCAACTAATCATTCCAAAAAACCAAACTCACTGCCATGGAGTCAGATCTGACTCATAGCAACCCCTCCTTGGGTTTCCAAGGCAGTATCACTATGGAAGTAGATTGCCCAACCTTCCTTCCAAATTAATCATTGTTGTTGTTGCTGTTAATCATTAGGGAGATGCAAATCAAAATCACAGTGAAATACCATTTCACCTCCACTAGGATAGCTATATCAGAAAAATGGAAAATAACAAATTTTGAAGAGGATATGGACAAATTCTTGCTTGTGGGAACGTAAAATGATACAGCCACTATGGAAAACAGTATGGCAATTCCTCTAAAAGCTAAACGTAGAATTACCATATGACTCAGCAATGCTACTCCCAGGTTTTACATCTAAAATAACTGAAAGCAAGAACTTAAACAGATACTTGTACATCAGTGTTCATTATAGCAATGTTCACAATAGCCAAAAAGAAAGAAACATCCCAAGTGTCTACCAATCCATGGAAATGCTACAAAATGTGGCATATATATAAATATTATATAGATATAGATATGATATATATAGATATATATTATAGTGTATTATTAAGCCATAAATCTGAAATTCTGACACATGTTTCAACATGGATGAACCTTGAAAATATTATGCTGAGTGAAGTAAGTCAGATATAAAAAGACAAGTATTATATGACCCCACTTAAATGAAATACTTAGAATAGTCAAATGCAGAGACAAAAAGTCATCTTAGTTTCAAGGGGCTAAGGGGAGAGGGAAATAGGGAGTTATTACTTAAGGAGTGGGAGCTCTGGTGGTATAATGGCTAAGGCATTTAACTACTAACCAGAAGGCTGGTGGCTCAAACCCACCAGCCACTCCTTGGAAGGAAGACTGGGCAATCTACTTCCATAGAGATAACACCTTGGAAACCTAAGGAGGGGTTGCTATGAGTTGGATTCAACTCTAAGGCAGTGAGTTTGGTTTGGTTTTTGATTCTTAAGGAGTACTGAGTTTGTTTCCAAACCAAAAAATAAAACTCACTGCCATCAAGTCTACTCTGGCTTATAGTGACCTCCTAGGACAGAGTAGAACTACACATAGGTTTCCAAGATTTCATAAACCTTTACAGAAGCAGACTGCCTCCCCTTTCTCCCACAGAGTGGCTGGTAGATTCAAACCACTGACCTTTTGGTCGGTGGTTTGATGCTTTAATCACAGCACCACCAGAGGTCCATTTTATTTAACGGGGATAAAAAAGCATTTGAAAATGGATAGTGGTGATGGTTACATAATATGGTGAATGTAATTAATGTCACTGAATTTGTACATTTAAAAATAGTAAAGATTGCAAATACTTACTTGTTAAATATTTTTTCCACAGTTAAAAAAAAATGTAAATGACATTGCTCAAGTACATCTTGGGAGTAAGGGTAGGGATTAATGTAGCAGCACGAAAGGAATGGTGAGAATTAGTATTTGCCAATATCCAGCAAGTGCTCCTGATTCCTAAAACCTCATCTTAGCAAATGCAGACTTTCACAATAAATAATGTTTTTCAGGGTTAATGAAAGGGCCTCCATAAGCCAGCTATGGCATTTATTTTCCTTATTAACCAGATATACTATGATGATAAGCCAAACCAAATCCATTGCTGTAGAGTTGATTCTACTCATAGCAACTCTGCAGGACAGAGTAGAACTGCCCCAGTGGGTTTCCAAGGCTGTAAATTATGGAAGCAGACTGCCACATCTTTTTTCCCATGGAGCACTGGTGGGTTCAAACCATCAGCCTTTTGGTTAGTAGCCAAGTATTTTAACCACTGTGCCACCCGGGCTCCTTACTATGTTGATACTACTGATATATTTTATGTCATTTTTTACTTGAAGACTGACTTCTTAATGAGTCCATTATTCCCAAAAATGCAATAAGGGCATCACGCCACAACTCCATAAATAAGTTTCATAAAGATAATTTCTGCTTTACAGATTCTCCACCAAAGGACTCTTTTCACTGTGTAAATGGGAAGCATATTCCTCAGAAGAAGGCCTGTGATGGTCTCAATGACTGTGGAGACCAAAGTGATGAGCTATGCTGTAAAGGTAGGGGAAAAAATGCAGATTTCAAATCCCCTAAATGCATATTTCTGACTAAAAAGTGAAAACAACATTATGATTGCATTTAAGATTTCATCCCATCAAATTTTAAGAAATGAAAACAATTGCTCCTATTTATGTTTTCACAGAGTGTCAAGGAGAAAGTTTCTTTTGTAAATCAGGTGTTTGTATTCCAAAAGAGTATAAATGTAATGGGGAAGTGGACTGCATCACAGGAGATGATGAAATTGGCTGCAAAGGTAATTTAAAGTGTTTTGGTTACTTTTTTTTTTTTCATTTTTCGATCCAAGAATTCTAAAACAGCTTAGGTAAATTGTAATTTTATGTGACCATATATTTTGATTACCTGGTGCCACTCTATCAGAAATACCACAGATGGGATGGCTTTAACAAACAGTTTATTCTTACAGTTTGGAGGTTAGAAGTCTGAATTCCAGGTGGCAGGCTCTAGGGGCTGAGTGAAATCCCCTCAACCTTGGGCTTCAGCTCTGCCTCTTGCCTCTGGCCCACTGAAGCTAGAGGCATCTCTTTACTCAGGCAGCTGCTGAGGGTGACAAACCCAAGGTTAACAAGTGAAAAGGCACAGTCCCCATATTACCAAAGCACATGGCAGACCACTGATTCAAGTGCATTAAAAGTCCTAAGATTGGCAGAGCATGGCAGGTTGCTGAATGAAGACTTGGCTACATGGAGGGTTCAAGTGTACCAAAAAGCTAGGGACCCTCCTCAAAGCTGCTTCTTATATAAAGGAAGCAGACCACATCTCTAAAGCAGCCACTCAGCTGCTCCAATAGATTCCACCATGGAACTGATTACCAGTCTCACCATGGGGAATAACTACATACAGCTGCCCAGCCACTCAACCAGGCGCAGCCAAGTTGACAACACCTCAGGAGAGTGTATCAGTAAGAGTACTACTGAATGGACATTTAAGAAACTATGAAATGTTCACCTCCTCATGTTTTCATTTGTTGTTGTTGTTATGTTGTTATGTGCCGTCGAGTCAAACCCGACTCATAGCGACCCCTCCTTGAGTTTCTGAGGCAGTATCACTACGGAAGTAGGATTGCCCAACCTTCCTTCCGAGGAGTGGCTAGTGGGTTTGAACCGCCAGCCGTCTGGTTAGCAGGCAAGTGTCTTAGCCACTATGCTACCAGATTTATTTTAGAGCATTTTTATTGGAAAAATATTCCCACATACACAAAAATAGACCAGTAAAATGAACTTCTACATATCCCTCTTACACTCTCAACAATTACTAATATCTTGCTAGTCCTGTTCATCTATCCTTCAGCTTGCTTTTTTGTTTGTTTGTTGAAGTATCTGAAAGCAAATTTCAGAAATCATGTCACTTCACATGTATACATGTCACATGTATACATCACTAATGATAAACACATTTTATGTATTTATCTATCTACACACACATGCACACATACATAACCATCCTGTCATTAAAACCATTAACCAAAACCAAAAACCCTTGCATTGACTCACAGTGACCCTACAGGATAGACAGAATAGGACTGGCCCATAGGGTTTCCAAGGCTGCAAATCATTATGGAAGCAGACTGCCTCATTTTTCTCCCACAGAACAGCTGGTGGGTTTGCAGCCGACCTTTTGGTTAGCAGCCAATGGCTATGGTTTCTATACTGCACACCTACCCAGGGACCCCAAATATTCAAAACATTGAATCTAGCATACAGTCAAGCCTCTAGAATCTAGATACTTGGTTAGAGTTTAAAGGAAATTTATGGAATAGAATAACATGTTAACACCTCAAAGAAGGAATTAACCACACCCAAAATAAGGAACATCCTAAAGACAAGTAACTCAGTTTCCTTAAAAAAAAATGAAAGCCATGAAAAAAGTGAGAGTAAGTAATCCTTAAAGAATAAAGACTTAAAAATCTTAAGACCCAAACATGCAGACATTTTTTTTGGATTCTTACTTGGATACATTAACTTTGAAAAGACATTTTTGAGACAATTCAGAAAATTTGAACATGGGCTGTTATTAAATTAAAATTATAATTCACCAAGATGTTTAAAGACTTGAATGGATGCAAGATTCAATATTTTAGGCCCTTGGGTGGGGCAAACTGTTTGCACATGGATACTAACCTAAAGGTTCAAACCCACCCAGTGCTGATGGGTAAGAAAGGCCTGGTGATCTGCTTCTGTAAAGATTACAGCCAAGAAAACCCCATGGAGCAGTTCTACTCTATAACACATGGGATCATCCTAAGTTGGAATTGACTTGATGGCAATGAGTTTGGTTGGTTGTGGATGATCATTACCTAGATCCATTTTGTCAATAAAGGTTGCAAAATGATGATTTCTATTCCTGCTTTATTTTTTAACTTGAATCCATAGAGAACTTTCCTTCCTCAAAACTGGGTATTATGAAATGCAGCTCACAGTAGAAGGGCAGAATAATGCTTAATTCTTTCCCTTTACTTACTAAGTTTCAAAGCAATGAGTTGTTGCCTCTCCAGTAGTAAAAAAAATATTTATTAGGTATT